AGTTGAAGTTTTGATAAAAAATAGGTCATATTCGGAAGGACGCAGTGGCTACATTTTCAAAAAATAGGACAAGTTTTTTACGCCAAAGCGTTCTGCGTAAAGATACCTTTTAGAAAACTATAAAATTGTTATATGTTCTTAAAGAAAATTTTATTTTATTAATAAAAGAGTTAAGACACATTTTTGGCAAAAAAAAACGCCAAAAATCTAAAATTTTTTGAATTTTTAAATTAAAAAACGTATATTTTTGGATCTGTAAATGATATTGATCTGAAATTTTTTGTATATTATTGGAAATTTTGTTGTCTAACAACAGGAAAAAATTGAGTTCATTTGGTCCAAAATTACGCCCGGTATTCTAAAAAAGGCGGACCAAGGTATGGTAAATTATGTATCACTAAATTTTTAAATGCCTATAACTCGGATATTATAAGAGATAAGTAGTATGTCCAAGCAAGTTTTTTCAAGATCTCGTCGAGCGCTTTCACAAAATATAAAAATCTTTGTATTTGGGTGAAAAACAAAAAAATGGCACGAGTTTAAAAATTTTACATGTCGTAGGTACCCCACTTTGAGCCGCCACAGCGCCGTCCCTGGGGCATCTGCAGGGTTCATCTTCAAAACTTAAACTCGAATACTCCTTGGCTACGCTCACGCCAAATTTTATCCCGATCGGATCAGCCGTTTAGAAATGCCAGATTTATTTCCAAAAAATTTCCATTCTGCCCCACTGTGCGGCCTTCGTTTAAGCTTTTAAGAAATTCAATCTGTTTTTGTTGCGCATATTTTTAATTACAAAAATTTCGTGGTTTTGTTTTCGTTATTTTTACTTTTAATTTTCTTGTGTGTTGGCTTCAGAAAAGTTTTTCTAATTGTTTAACTTTTAGGAAATTCTCTTTAATAATTAATGTTTGTCCATAAGACTGTGATTCGGCACACAATAATATAAACAAATATACAATATGTATGTATGTATCAGTTTAGGACGGGGTTATAAAACATATTTTTTATCGAAAAAGGAACTTTTGGGCTGTTATAAGAGAATTTTAAAGAAATTTATAGGTGTTCCTCAATTTGCTATATCTTTGTTCTAAATTTTAGAATCGAAAGTGTATATAGTGTATACCATTAGGCCCATTATGGTAACGTTAAGGGGTATCTCTGAGGTAGTCAATGTATAATATCCCGAACACTGTCATGTTATTAATTCTTAACTGCAACAGGGTCAAGATGAAATAGAGCAAAATATTCCTTCCATTGATATTGTATGTATCAATGTCGTAAATTTAGAAAATATTCAATTGAAGCTGTGTTAATAATAGTACCTTTTCTGAGAAAAATGTACAAGAATACAATTTCACAGATTTATTGTATTTAAGATCCCTGCTTTAATTTTCAACTTTGTTATACCCTACACTACTATAGTGGGAAGGGTATTATGCGTTTGTGCTGATGTTTGTAACGCATTAAAATATTAGTACTATACCCACCTTAAAGTATACCGATCGACTCAGAATCACTTTCTGAGTCGATTTAACGATTCCGTCCGTCCGACCGTCCGACCGTCCGTGTGTCCATGTAAACGTTGTTATCAAAGTATAGGTCGCAATTTTCAAGATAATTTGATGAAATTTGGTTTGTTTTGACCCAAGGACGAAACCTATTGAAAATGGTTAAAATCGGTCCATTATTTCACCTACGCCCCATACAACTGAACCCCCGAAAAGGTCTTTTGAGCTCATAATTATGTATAATATAAATGTATCTCGATGAAAGTTCACACAACTAAGTTTTATACAAGCCTTGATGACCATGCCGAATTTCAAAATGATCGAACTTCATTTGACCCTAGCCCCCACACAAAGCCCCCTTCAGAAAGTAACTTGAATATCCACAATTCATTTATTAGCACTGTTATTGCAATGAAATTTAGCACAGACAAATATTATATATATATTATATAAATATTATATAAATACAAATCTATCCAGCGCATTTTATCGGGATCGGTCCACATTTGCCTCTTTTAGAAAATAAGTTTTTCGTCAATAAATTGCTTAAATAAATCGGAATCAAGGTAATAAATAAATAAGATAAATGCTTTATTATGAAAAATAAATCACATTAAATATTCATAATTGGTGTAGGGTATCATATAGTAGGCCAAGCCCGACTATACTTTCTTACTTGTTACATTTTGAAATGTTTTACTTTGACTATACAAACATAAATTATTTATACTTAGGTATTGTTGTTGTCGATAAATATGTACATATACATATATACGTCGTTGTATTTGTACAAAATATTTATGATTTTGTTGTACAACAGTTTATGTAAGTGTGTGGATGTTGGATATTTTATTACGTTCAAATAATAATAATAATTATAATTACTATTAATTGCTTTCCTAATAATGTTAATTACATTTCATTGGTTTCACTACAACATACTTTTAACCAAGTTGTTGTTGTTACTGCTTGTAGTGTTGTATTGTTGTTGTTATTATTTGTTTTACACACAATAAAACAAACAAATAAATAAAATACATTCTAAGTAAAGTTTGTATATGAGAAACGAAGTGAGAGTATGTACCATCTGTATTTTGCTATTCCATTTATTTATTATATAAACAATTAAATTCTAACCAACCATAAACTTGTTTAAATTTAAAAAACAAAACAACAAAACACCAACGGCAACAACAATAAAAATATCAAGGATTAATTTCAAAGTAATTATAAATAATTGTTGTTTTCATCATCAACCTCATCATTCAAAGGAATATTATGAATTTTGAACATTTTCACAATTACTTGTTTTTTCAAGAGATCTTGTGTAACAAAATATTTAATTCAATTATATTTTGAACTTACACCCACTTGCACAGTGATGAGAAAACCTTCACAATAAACTTATGGTGGAAAGTAGCACAAAATTATTTTTTTTATACATAAATTTATTAAACTGCAACATTTAGATTTAATAAAAACAAATTAATTTTTAACAAACATTAACAATGATTTTCTAAATTGTAGTTGCAAAAACTTATACATATTTATATAATTAAAATTTAAAAATAAATTTGGGGGGTTAGATGACCGTAAACTAAGTTTAAAACTATGAGATGACCAAAAAACCTCCTTAAAATCGTACAAAAGTTGTTTTGGAAATTATTCCGTTACTTTTTTATGATAAGTTTTGTTGAAGATAGGCTAAAAATGGCTAAGTTCAAAGTAAATGTAACATAAATAATTTTTTCGTTATCCGTTATATTTTTGCTGACGAGTATTGCTGTTTTCACAAACGAATCATTGCACTATTATTTAAAAATCTGAACATTTGTCTGAATTTTTTTGTAATAAGCTGTTAATTTTTTCTGCCTTTTTACCGCTAAATAAGAAGATGGGAAAAGCTGAACTAGTACCTATCTAGAACTGAACTAGAACTGAACTAGAACTGAACTAGAACTGAACTAGAACTGAACTAGAACTGAACTAGAACTGAACTAGAACTGAACTAGAACGAACTAGAACTGAACTAGAACTGAACTAGAACTGAACTAGAAACTGACTAAACTAGAACTGAACTAGAACTGAACTAGAACTGAACTAGAACTGAACTAGAACTGAACTAGAACTGAACTAGAACTGAACTAGAACTGAACTAGAACTGAACTAGAACTAAACTAGAATGAACTAGAACTGAACTAGAATGAACTAGACAACTAGAACTGAACTGAACTGAACTGAAGAACTGAACTAGAACTGAACTAGAACTGAAAACTAGAACTGAACTAGAACTGAACTAGAACTGAACTAGAACTGAACTAGAACTGAACTAGAACTGAACTAGAACTGAACTAGAACTGAACTAGAACTGAACTAGAACTGAACTAGAACTGAACTAGAACTGAACTAGAACTGAACTAGAACTGAACTAGAACTGAACTAGAACTGAACTAGAACTGAACTAGAACTGAACTAGAACTGAACTAGAACTGAACTAGAACTGAACTAGAACTGAACTAGAACTGAACTAGAACTGAACTAGAACTGAACTAGAACTGAACTAGAACTGAACTAGAACTGAACTAGAACTGAACTAGAACTGAACTAGAACTGAACTAGAACTGAACTAGAACTGAACTAGAACTGAACTAGAACTGAACTAGAACTGAACTAGAACTGAACTAGAACTGAACTAGAACTGAACTAGAACTGAACTAGAACTGAACTAGAACTGAACTAGAACTGAACTAGAACTGAACCAGAACTGATCTAGAACTGAACTAGAACTGAACTAGAACTGAACTAGAACTGAACTAGAACTGAACTAGAACTGAACTAGAACTGAACTAGAACTGAACTAGAACTGAACTAGAACTGAACTAGAACTGAACTAGAACTGAACTAGAACTGAACTAGAACTGAACTAGAACTGAACTAGAACTGAACTAGAACTGAACTAGAACTGAACTAGAACTGAACTAGAACTGAACTAGAACTGAACTAGAACTGAACTAGAACTGAACTAGAACTGGACTAGAACTGAACTAGAACTGAACTAGAACTGAACTAGAACTGAACTAGAACTGAACTAGAACTGAACTAGAACTGAACTAGAACTGAACTAGAACTGAACTAGAACTGAACTAGAACTGAACTAGAACTGAACTAGAACTGAACTAGAACTGAACTAGAACTGAACTAGAACTGAACTAGAACTGAACTAGAACTGAACTAGAACTGAACTAGAACTGAACTAGAACTGAACTAGAACTGAACTAGAATTGAACTAGAACTGAACTAGAACTGAACTAGAACTGAACTGGAACTGAACTAGAACTGAAGTAGAACGAAATTGGAACTGAAGAGAATCTAAATTGAACTAGAACTTTCTTTGAAAATTGTTTGGTGTTTTAGAACATTACTAAGTATTTAATTATTCGTTACAAATAAGTTATTGTACACATTAATAAAATTGTATCTCTTTAACAGCTGGCAATATCTAGTTCGCAACTACCCCGTGACGTCACAACCTCTGGCCATATTTATCATATTTATAGTACTATGGCTACTAGGTTATGTACTTATGCCCGAATATGCGATACCAAGTACCGCCATAATGCGTTTAATACTTTTGATTGTTGGTGCTCAAATCACGGGTATATTAGTGACCTTTATTAAATTGCCTGATATGTTGGGTATGTTGTTCTTTGGTGTTTTATATACAAATGTAGGATTGGCTGATTTCAGTGGTTATCAACGATTGGAAGCATTCTTGAGGTAAACAAATTTTGATTAAGCAAATAATCCACTTTAATGAAACAAATTTTCTTTAAATTTTTAGAGAAATGGCCTTAATTAATATAATGCTATTGGCTGGTTTTGGTTTAGATGCCAATGCTTTTAAAAAATTGTGGTTTATGATATTACGTTTAACTCTAATTCCCACCATTGCCGAAGTTACCATAATAACAGTTTTAGCTCATTTCCTGTTAAATATGTCTTGGTTATGGGGCATTCTGTTGGGGTAAGTGAGAATTATATTTGTTTTATTTAAATTTCTTCTAACTAAAGTAATAAAAAGTAAATTTATTCTAAAGTACCTAGTAAATATTAAGTCTTGTTAAATGGAAAAAATGCATATATGTAAATAAATTTATAATAATTATAGTGCTACGAAACATAAAGGTAGTACTAGTATAACTAACACTCACTGCATAATTTCGCACAATTATTAAATATGTAAAATTTATTAAAAGGCGGTAAGAATTAAAATGCTTGTTCACTGACTGCACGCTTTTAAGGGAATATGTAGAAAGGAATATGCATAAATATATAGTTGTGTACATTCAAGTGTATGTACATAAGAAAATGTGTGTTTGACTAGTTACGTTTCAGCCCACTTAATTTGACACTTGGCAACTCTACAATTTCATTAGCGCAAATGTTGAAATTTTCCTTTTTTATGCTGCTGCTTCACAGCATGTTATTAAGAACGACCATCAAACCCTAGTTGGCCTGTTGGCGGAAGTTTAAAATGAAACTAAAACAAAGAAGAAAATAAAAGTTCACGACAAAAAAACTTCGCTATTTTACCTCATCTGCATATGTGTGTACATCAATTGTATAGTTGCGGTGTAGGTTAAGGTAGTTAGTAGTGGTTTATAACTAAACTGGAAGAAAAAATTGTATTGTAGGACCTCGAGGGAAGTTTATATATCCTCTATGGCCAAGAATAGATTCAAAACTAAAATTTGACCTTTAAAAATCTAGTAATTATTATAACAGATAGTAACCGAAAAGTTAATATTGAATCTTTTGTATGATTATAAAGAAAACATACTTCCCTGCCGTGATGGTGTAGTTAAGGTGTAATATCTAAATAAATGTAGTTGTACTTAGTTAACCGCATACTTTAAAACAACAATTATAAGAAAGACGCACAAACATACCTTTTTATGGGTTTCATCAGCAACAGCTACCAGTAGTGGCTGATACTGCTGCAACATAAAAAAGAACTTGGCATAAAACATTCTAAATGCACAATTTCGTAATTAGTTGCTGCATACTTCTTATGAGTACTTTAACACAACAGACACTACAAAATACACATATTTGTACTTAGTAAGTCATATGGAGAGTTAGTATACTTCATCGCTATAATAAGTACTACAAAGAGGAAGAAAGAAATAGGTGCTGGCAATACATACTAAACTAATAGTAACAAATAGCAGTAGTGTTGGAAATAGTAGTAGTATTTACTGTAAAGATTGTCGTAAGTATACCTATAGGTCCGTCTTTTTTCGTAGGTCCTTACATAAGAAAATAAATTTCTTCTGATATGGATTGTATATACCACAGTAGGCCAGAATTTTTTGGAAATAATTCTGACATTTCAAAATTTGACATGAGCGTAGCCAAGGAGTATTCGACCGTCGACATTATATTCATTTGCATCTTATCCGATTTCAGGAATTTTTATTTTTTTGGAAAGCGCACAGCTAATTCTTAAAAAAATTGTTTGCGTGTGCTTTTTACTTCACTTATTAATAGAACTTAATGTCAAAAGGGCAAAGGGAATCCCTTAATTCCTAAAAATTGTTAAATTTAAATTTTCAATTACATTTAACAAGTTATTGAAATCAGATAGAAAACAAAATGATGGTACAGATTAATTTTTCTGAAAAATAAACGGCTCATCCATCGAGGATAATATTTTACATGGTCGTAGCCAAGAACTATCTGAGTATAATTTCAGAAGTTGGACTCCTCAAGGAGTTAAACCCATTTGAAAATTATTTTTTTAAGAGAAGTAACACTCATTCAAACATACATATGGGCAATTTCTTGTCAAGTGACCTAACTCAAAAAATCGATTCTGATGAAATTTGCACCAAGGTTAGTAGGCCACAACATTTCACACAAATTTTCAGCTCTATTGATCTAGAATTGCCGGCTTTAAATGAGGTCAAAGTTGGACATTTTGGTCATACAGGGTTTTATTCAAATGAGTGTGACTTTTCACCTATTGGTTCTAGCAAAAATTGTGCAAAGGAGCTCAGATAGATATTTCTGTATTGTTTCCAAAAAAAATCAATTTTTTGCTCAGAAGAAAGCTTAATGGCTTTATAGTCGCATAATGCGATGCGAGTGTGATATCTATACAATAGTACTAACCGTGGGACAAATTTCATCCCAATCGGAAGACAGATGGGTCACATGACACGAAATTGCCCATATATGTATGTACATATATAATTAACCAAATGTGCATCTGTTGAATTTTATAATAAGGAAAAATAGCTCTGCATGTGGAGTTAAATAAAGAACTAGTAAATTTAATACATTGTATCTACATACATAAATACATACATATGTGTATAGTATGTATGTGATTATGAAAAATTGTCATAATCACAAATACAGTGTTATAAAAAAAAAGTAATAAGCATCTTTTTTATAACATTGTAATTGTATGTGTAAGCGCTTATGTTCATGTAATATTAAGAAAAAAATTAAACAACTGAAACACTAAATTTCATATACACTTAGTTAGAGGACTTGCTACATCAGTTTTACAAGAAAATATTCATGTTAAGCCTTTCACTTACACAATATTAAAAATTTTTTTTATTATGCATGATGGTTTTCACACATACACACAGCGATACTTGCAACATCTCTGGCATTTATGTGTTCTGCCCCATCCTATCAAGTGTCAAATGTTGGGTGTTTCAACGTTGTTTCTTTTTGGTTATTTTTTTCATGATATATTTTTGGAGAGGTCTTACGCTAATGACACTAGAATTTTTAATTTTTCAGACATTTGGTTGTCTACAACAACAACAACTACTATAACTGCAACTATAAAATTATAGTTGCAACTTGCTAGTCTAATTTTTTTGGTTAGTTAATGGTGGTGTGTAGAACTCATCGTTGCCGTCGTCATCATCATCATAAGTTCGTTTTTTTTTTCGTTTTGCTTTTAGTTATTTAATGATGGTCGTTGACGTTCATTTAAATGGCTCTGTCAGTTTTTTATATCTATGAACCAATGTTAGAATTTCACATACTCTTAGACATTGAAGATATTGCGCGAAAGTTTTAGAGGCCTTTAAATTGCAAGGCCTCTTCTAGACCTAAACAACTTGTCATCTTTTTCAGAATTAGTGAAATTATGATGGTCAGTAATGAAATAGAAATAAGCGGACCTGTTAATTTCCGTTTTTACTTTTAGAGGATGGTAGTTATATTTTAATAAAAAAAAAAACATTAATATTACTTTCGGAAAAATTTATGAAACAGGACAGCTTCGTCCTTAGAAAATGTTAGATAACAATGTCGCTGTTCTACTAGATCTGTGTCCTGTAACAGGCCCTTCAAATCCACAGATATTCACGCTTAATGATTTTCGAAACGATATATGTACATATACATATGTACATATTTACTTGTTTGTTTGTACATATATTTTGAGAAAATTAGTGTTAGGGTGTGTGGTTTTATAACACCGTGCGACAGCAATTAAGTCATATATAGTAAAATTGCATTTTCAGTTTTTTATTTTCTGATCTTTTCTCTATTTTAAAGGACCTTAAACTTTTAAGGACATAAACATTTATTAAAATATTTCTATCCATTAGTTCTGGTCAATATTGGTATCAAATGAAAGAAGAAATTTAAAAAAACTGCGTTTTCAGTTTTTAATTTTCTAATATTTTCTTCTTTTTAAAGGACTTTAAGGATATAAAAATGTATTTTAATATTTCTACCCAATAGTTTTGTTCAATATGGGTATCAAATGAAAGAGGAGAAACCGCGGAAATTAAAACATTTTTTTCCTGATATTATTCAGGACGAGAGATTATGCTTTGAAAAATTTATCCTTTCATGTCCTTGAGAATTTCCAATACATTCTCAAGTAATATCATGAGTAGATGGTCTCATTCAAGTCCTATAATTAAAATTGTATCACGGTGTAATATGTAAATATATGTGTTCATATATATTTTTTGTGTTTCATTATATTTTTTCATAACTTTATTAAAATCCAATCAAAAAGTCGCTAAACATGTAATTAAGTTGTTTCACAAGAATTATTGAGAAGGAAAATTGTAATTTGTTGAAAATTATTTTAGAGATTTACAGTTTTTGTTAGCGCGATTAATTTTCAACACACAATTTTAAATACAAATATTTTATACTAGCTATACCCAGTGTGCTTCGCTACCCTGATCGAGATTTCATGCTTTACATGCTTAATTTCAAGTTTCTAGGTTCAATATTAAAGAAAACTCAAAAAGTACCAGTTAAAAAACGAAAAAGAACGAAAAGGTAGCAAAAAGTCCCCTTTTATAGATTCTCATTAACTCCGGGCTCCACATTCTTAATTTCATGTTTTCAGAATCAATATTATAAAAAACTCAAAAAGTACCAGTTAAAAAACTAAAAAGTACCAAAAAACAGAAAGTACCGTTACATGCTCTACATGCTTAATTTCAAGTTTCTAGGTTCAATATTAAAGAAAACTCAAAAAGTACTAGTTAAAAAACGAAAAAGAACGAAAAGGTAGCAAAAAGTCCCCTTTTATAGATTCTCATTAACTCCGGGCTCCACATGCTTAATTTCATGTTTCCAGGACCAATATTATAAAAAAACTCAAAAAGTACCAGTTAAAAAGCTAAAATGTACCAAAAACATTCCTTTGTGCTGGAGTTCCAAGTAATACCCTATTGCCATATTAAGTATTTCTAAATCTACCAATTCCTCAAAATTAATTAAAATTAGGTCAATGAGTTTGAATAAAATCAATTTTCCCTTTTGATACTTTCTTCTCCCTATTGAAGTAATAAACATTTTATTCCAAAATGTTGCCATATCAAATACACAGGAAACAATGTTTTATGCAAAAAGTACCAAAGATAGGTACGGTTTTCAGCCCCGAACGACCGAACATCCAAAAAGTACTAAATTCATATTTTTATTTTTTCGTTATGAAGTTATGAAGGAGTGAAAAAGTCTGTATGTTCACTGGCTTAAGAGATACATGGGGTGCAAAAAAAATACTAAGATACAGTTTTTACCCCTTTATTCCCTAAAGAGGCCGAATTGGAAAAAAGTACCAAACAATAAGCTTTAAACTGCTTTTGTATCTTTTCTAGTTTAGGGATATAAGGTTACCGAATATACCCATTTTTACCCCCTAAATATTCGAATATCCAAAAATCCCGTCTTAATGGATCTTTTTGGTGGGAGACCAATCTCCTGTCCAAATTTCACAGCCGTTTAGGCCGTGTGATGATAAATCAGTGAGTCAGTAACGTTAGAATTTTATATATATATATATGTATGTATGTAGATAATTGGGGAATTTCATGTCAAGTGACCCAACTCAAAAAATCGATTTCGACAAAATTTGCACTAAATTTGTACTATTGGATAGTACACAAATTTTCAGCTCTATCGGTCAAGAACTGCCGGACTTAGAGGGGGTCAAGGGTTTTATAGACCCATTATGGGATGCGACTGGGATATCCATCAAACAAATTATTTTTTAACTCAAAAATTATTTTAATATTTGGAACTTAATTTTCCCCTATTTTTTTAAAATATATGAGGTTTTTGTTGTATTTTTTTTTTCTCAAAAGAAAGCTTAGACCATTGCCTTAAAGAGCTAACCAAAAATCTACTGATATCAACTAGGGCTCGAACCATTAATTTCTTGTTTCTTAGACAGAGGCTCTAGACAATTAGCTACTACTCCCATTCAACAAAATTAAATAATGTATTTGAAAACCCATTACAAAGTAATGTATGAAATAACTGCATTAATTACCAAAACATAAAAAATGTTTCCTGGGTATATAACAAATATTTAAAAATATACAAATTAACAATCCAATATTTAATTTTCCTTACCCTTAGTCTCGTTATTACAGCTGTCTCCCCTAATGTCGTCGTCACCGTGATGTTAAAACTAAAAGAAGAACGTTTGGGTCTAAACAATGGCATTCATACACTTATCTATGCCATGACCACTTGCAATGATGTAGTGGCCATATTTTTATTTGGTGTATTTTGTGGAGTAATATTCTCAACGGGTAAGTTAATATATTTCGCAGAAAAAAAAAAATCATTTGCAAATTAAACAAACTAAAACTTTTATAACACTTTTTTCCGGCACTTTAAGGTACTTTAACGGAACAAATTCTGCAGGGACCTATCGGTATTGGTATTGGCTTTGTATTTGGTTATGTATATGGTCTAATGTTACAATTTTTACCCTCCCGTAATGCGGTAAGTAATCAATGTGTTTTTTTTTTTCTTTTTCAAGTACATATCTGCATACATATTGTAGTTGGTATGGATTTCTGTTAAGGAATTGAGTTATAAAATTTCTTTTTATGGTGCATATTTTTGGTCATAAATGTTCGCAGCTTTTAGTACTAGTGTGTAGAAAAATTATGTACAAATACAAATATGTATAGTAAGTGTTGCTGGCAACATGTTCTCGTATAAATAGTAGGAGTTGGTGTTGTCCTCGCACAATTTTGTTTTTTGTTAAATATTTGAAAAGTGTACTTTACACAAGATAAAAATATTTTCCTCTTTTTTCTTTGCATATGTAGATATGAATTGCAAGATATTTAAAGGTATTTATTCATTAAGGGAAAATTATATAAATGTGACTTAATTCCTATTAAAAAGTTGTTTCTGTAACGTTAATAGAATAACGGTAGAATAGGGTTATCGGTAGTTTGACTTATTTCGGTGTTGGTCGCACCTTAAGGCGTAATAATCGGATTAGAATCCTTTTTTGAGTCGATTTAGCTATGTCCGTCTATCTTACCGGTCATATCGTGGAAATAAAACATTTCTTAATAAAAATAAATTATCGATAAAAAATCAATTTAATAATAAGAACTCTTTTTAGTGAATTAATTACTTTAAAATTCCTGCCTTAATAGTTTTAACAACATGACAGCTTCTGGGATTTTTGTGTTGTCTAGTACTCATACATTTCCTACATTTTGCAACTTTAACGATGCTCCTTCGGTTACTGTATGTTGCGAGTTTGGTGTTAAAATTGTTTCGTATTCTTTTTTATGAGAAAAAGAAATTTTATGTTTATTATACGCTGCCTGTAGCAAGGCTTCTTATTCCTAATGGTGTGCATAATCAAATGTACAAGAAAATAATGTAGTTCAAACAAATCCTTTATACTCCCACAAACAGAAATGGTAGAGCAGCAGGACATACTTTATGCAGCGAATACAGAGAAATACACATCGATAGTTAACACTTTTAAGACATGTTTGTTTGTAATTGTATTTTTGCTTTTCACATAAAGGAGTAATATATTTTTATAGTCATGTGGGTTTGTGCCAGTGATACTTGTACAAGAAATGAATTTCGTTACAAGTGTATCGGAATGTGCAACATACTGAGCATTATTTCCATTAACATACATACACATATTTTGCATTATTACTATATTAGCACGTAAAAAATTTACAAAATATGTAGTTAGCAAACGATTTTTAGAAGAATATTTTTAAGGAAAAGATATTAATTTTATGACCCGTCTGGGCAGTATATTCAGAGGTTAAAAAATTATGGTTAAAATATTAAGTTAATTATGTTCAGCGTTCTTTGTTTAATAAATTATTTAAATAATAAAATATTATTTTCAGCAATTCCGCTGCAAATCATTATTATTTGTCTTTTCTAACTTTAAATATAAATGAAGCATACTTTAAGACATATAAATAAAATAAAAAGTTCTGCATTTGTTTAGGAGTTTATGTTAAATAACTGTTAAAAGTATTTTTTTGAACTTACCTGCCTGTCAATCTTTCTTAACTGTATAAATATTTCTAAAACGAGAGAGAAAAAAAAATACATAAATAAACAGAACGAGTTGTAACTTTCTGCCTCGAAAAATACCCCCAAAAAACTTTCTAAATTAGAAACACACAATTTGCATAAAAGAGCAGCCAAATATGAGAAAAAAGTTAAAAAACTAAAAAAGATAAATTTTGTTTTGAATATTGTTGCTATTGCTCCGGTACTGTTTGATTTAATTCAACTCAATATACAACAAATATTTGAAAATTGAATTTATTATGCAGTCAGACATTTTTAAATATTCATACAATTCAATCAGTACAAAAAAAAAAATAAAAATAAAAGTTGTACGAGTGAGTTATATTCAGTTTAAATGGATATACTCACTCAATTAACTTATACACTCAGATTCAAATATTCGCATATAAATTGTTGCGGATTGCTTTATGGAAATTATTATTTTTAGTATTTTTTAAAACTTAATATAAAATAGTTTTTCTTTATTCAATAAAACGAAATGATTTTAATCTCTGAATGCCTCCAATCAAGCTGACTAAAGATGTTTTACCTTAACGAACTTCAATTAATCTGGTGTTTAGAAAAAACCAAATCTGTTAAAACTAAATTTTTAAACTATATATTTCTAGTTAGCCTAAAAGTATACTATAGATTTCTTAATGAAAAACTCCTAAATGTAGCATATTACTTAAAAAGTCTTTAAAAAAAAACCAGCTCTCAGTATTCAAAATGACATATCTCACCTTGCAATTTGTAAAAATAGTATGTTAGCATCTTCAATAAAGTTCATATCAAGGTCTATATAATATTTTCCCATATGAAGACTTTTTTCTATCCCGTGCTTTATTACTTTCAGCTAATACCGCAACAACAGTCATGCAGTTGACATTTTTATTAAAGTTTCATTTGTGTGACTTTTTCTTATTCTCCTTTAACTTAATGCACGAAACTTTCACAATTTGTTCATTTCATTTGCAATACCTTGAAATCCATATAAATTCTTGGAAAACTCATCTATTTATTTAGGAAAAAAATAGAATTTCTCTAACAATAGTTATTAACTTTTTTCCACATAAATATAAATTTTGTTGCCTTTAATACCGTGCGTAAATCGTTGCAATTCTATAAAATACATAAAGGATTTTTCCTTTAAAAAAATCCTTTTCTTTTTAAACACATTTGTAAAGTGTAGAAAGATACTGGAAAAAATTGTCTTTGATAAACGCATAAATTTAATAAATCAAATAGTAAGTCTTTCAACAATTGCATTTTGTTCTCCTTTTAGGTTAGAATTATTTACGAAAAGAAATATTGAAAACAGTAAGCAATTGCCAGGATTTGAGGTTTTCCTGTGTATTCTTAAAATGACAAAGCGCAGATAAAATAAAACCAAAAAGTTTACTACAATATTTTTTGTTTTATATAATGCTGTTAAAACGAAATTCCAATTTTCATGGAAACCACTATGACTAGACTATAGACTAGACAATAGACTAGACTATAGACTAGACAATAGATTAGACTATAGACTAGACAATAGACTAGACTATAGACTAGACTATAGACTAGACTATAGACTAGACTATAGACTAGACTATAGACTAGACTAATAGACTAGACTAGACTATAGACTAGACTATAGACTAGACTATAGACTAGACTATAGACTAGACTATAGACTAGACTATAGACTAGACTATAGACTAGACTATAGACTAGACTATAGACTAGACTATAGACTAGACTATAGACTAGACTATAGACTAGACTATAGACTAGACTATAGACTAGACTAGACTAGATAGACTAGACTATAGACTAGACTATAGACTAGACTATAGACTAGACTATAGACTAGACTATAGACTAGACTATAGACTAGACTATAGACTAGACTAGACTAGACTATAGACTAGACTATAGACTAGACTATAGACTATAGACTAGACTATAGACTAGACTATAGACTAGACTATAGACTAGACTATAGACTAGACTATAGACTAGACTATAGACTAGACTATAGACTAGACTATAGACTAGACTATAGACTAGACTATAGACAAGACTATAGACTAGACTATAGACTAGACTATAGACTAGACTATAGACTAGACTATAGACTAGACTATAGACTAGACTATAGACTAGACTATAGACTAGACTATAGACTAGACTATAGACTAGACTATAGACTAGACTATAGACTAAACTAGACTAGACTATAGACTATACTAGACTAGACGAGACTAGACTAGACGAGACTAGACTATAGACTAGACTATAGACTAGACTAGACTAGACTAGACTATACTAGACTAGACTAGACTAGACTAGACTAGACTAGACTAGACTAGACTAGACTAGACTAGACTAGACTAGACTATACTAGACTAGACTAGACTAGACTATACTAGATACTACTAGACTATACTAGACTATACTAGACTATACTAGACTATACTAGACTATACTAGACTATACTAGACTATACTAGACTAGACTAGACTAGACTAGACTAGACTAGACTAGACTAGACTAGACTAGACTAGACTAGACTAGACTAGACTAGACTAGACTAGACTAGACTAGACTAGACTAGACTAGACTATACTATAGACTAGACTAGACTTGACTATACTATAGACTAGACTAGACTAGACTAGACTAGACTAGACTAGACTAGACTAGACTAGACTAGACTAGACTAGACTAGACTAGACTAGACTAGACTAGACTAGACTAGACTAGACTAGACTATACTAGACTATACTAGACTATACTAGACTAGACTATAGACTAGACTAGACTAGACTAGACTATACTATAGACTAGACTAGACTTGACTATACTATAGACTAGACTAGACTATGACTAGACTATGACTAGAATATGACTAGACTATGACTAGAATATGACTAGACTATGACTAGACTATGACTAGACTAGACTAGACTATGACTAGACTATGACTAGACTATGACTAGACTATGACTAGAATATGACTAGACTATGACTAGACTATGACTAGACTAGACTAGACTATGACTAGACTATGACTAGACTATGACTAGACTATGACTAGACTATGACTAGACTATGACTAGACTATGACTAGACTATGACTAGACTATGACTAGACTATGACTAGACTATGACTAGACTATGACTAGACTATGACTAGACTATGACTAGACTATGACTAGACTAGACTATGACTAGACTATGACTAGACTAATGACTAGACTATGACTAGACTATGACTATGACTAGACTATGACTAGACTATGACTAGACTATGACTAGACTATGACTAGACTATGACTAGACTATGACTAGACTATGACTAGACTATGACTAGACTATGACTAGACTATGACTAGACTATGACTAGACTATGACTAGACTATGACTAGACTATGACTAGACTATGACTAGACTATGACTAGACTATGACTAGACTATGACTAGACTATGACTAGACTATGACTAGACTATGACTAGACTATGACTAGACTATGACTAGACTATGACTAACAAAATATGTCGCTCTTAAATAACCCAACAAAAATCACTATCACAACAAAATATTGAATAAAAATAAAATTCTATTAAATTTTTATTTTCACTCTTTGCCTACACTCAATTCCCTACAAAATTTATATTTCATTTTTTATTCTACATGGCACTGATATACATCATGCAATTTTAACAAAGCCTAAAGGTTTTCTTTCTTAAACTAGTAACAAGCGTTGAAATTACAAAAATTGGTATGAATAAAAAGAGAAGAAATTATGTTGCCACAAAGTATCATTTTGTGTAGCACTGCTGCTGCTCAAGAAAAATCTTTAGAAACTAAAACATGTTGCAAAAAAATTACACTAAATTTATGAATTGAATAGAGATTTCGTTTCCTGCTTAAACAATCAAAAATATGTAAGTTGTAAAATTTTGCCAAAAACAAAGAATTTTACACACAAACACATTCGTTGCTAGAAAATTTACAAATGTGTAATAAAAAATTCGGCAACAGAAAAAAATTGTGTAAAGAATTTTTTGTTTATTTTTGTGACTATTAGAATTGGCCATTTATAGTGAAATCTTAGTTCATCTAAAATGGTTGAATAGTTAATACATGTGTTGCATTCGCAGAAACTCTTTTATGGCCACAAAATAACATTTATACAGCTGCTATTCATGCAAAGCCTATTTTACTTTAGAATTTAACTTTTTTTTTTTGGTTGGCACAGTACAGTGAAATGCTAATAGAATAAATAGTAGTAGTTGAGGTATTATTTGTTCATTTGAAACCTATGTACACCATACTGTGCAAAATCTTTCCTTACAAATTTTGAAAACCCCTTAGCAAACTGTTGTAATAGTCTACTGTTTAGTTTGTAAATCACTTTTAGAAATAAGATTTTGTTTCTTTTCTGTTTATGTTGTAGCTTAATGTATTTTCACTCTTTTCAAATATATTCTACTTTTTTTCTCGTATTTTTAATGCGTATTTTTTATTTTTTTCCTTTCAGATCTATGTAAATGGTTTACGTTTTGTTTTGACTGTCTTGGGCGGTACCATTGCCGTGATGGGCAGTAAAACTATCGGTTATCCATCTGCTGGCGCCTTAGGGTGTGTAACAGTTGCTTTCATAGCTAGCATTGGTTGGAAGCGTCAAGAGAAAAAATTGACACCACAGCAACTACAAGCATATGAAAATGTAAGTTTAAGATTTTTCATTTTATTTCCTATGAGTTTTTCTTTATATTCCTCAAAAGGAAAAGCTGTAGAACTAACTATATAACTTAAATGCCCTAGAATTTTATTTGTATCTTTTTTATTTCGATATTTTTTACTTTTTTGTACCAGTGTGTAAATCTCATGGACCGTATGTTACAGTGTTTTGAATACATTTGAATTTTGCATATATTTGTGTACACTACATTTCTACACATACTTAGTTTCTATTGGCTTCGTTTTTGATGCGACTGATGTCTTTAGAGGAAAATAGAGGACAGTTTGAAAACATAGAAGATTTTTATTGTAATGTTTGAATGCTTAAATTATATTTCTTAATAAATGATTTTAACTCAACTATGTGATAGATAGAAGATCTGAAAACTCTAAATGTATCATAGTAGTGATCTCCTCATAGTTTAGTCATAGTCTAGTCATAGTCTAGTCATAGTCTAGACATAGTCTAGTCATAGTCTAGACATAGTCTAGACATAGTCTAGTCATAGTCTAGTCATAGTCTAGTCATAGTCTAGTCATAGTCAGTCTAGTCATAGTCTAGTCATAGTCTAGTCATAGTCTAGTCATAGTCTAGTCATAGTCTAGTCATAGTCTAGTCATAGTCTAGTCATAGTCTAGTCATAGTCTAGTCATAGTCTAGTCATAGTCTAGTCATAGTCTAGTCATAGTCTAGTCATAGTCTAGTCATAGTCTAGTCATAGTCTAGTCATAGTCTAGTCATAGTCTAGTCATAGTCTAGTCATAGTCTAGTCATAGTCTAGTCATAGTCTAGTCATAGTCTAGTCATAGTCTAGTCATAGTCTAGTCATAGTCTAGTCATAGTCTAGTCATAGTCTAGTCATAGTCTAGTCATAGTCTAGTCATAGTCTAGTCATAGTCTAGTCATAGTCTAGTCATAGTCTAGTCATAGTCTAGTCTAGTCATAGTCTAGTCATAGTCTAGTCATAGTCTAGTCATAGTCTAGTCATAGTCTAGTCATAGTCTAGTCATAGTCTAGTCATAGTCTAGTCATAGTCTAGTCATAGTCTAGTCATAGTCTAGTCATAGTCTAGTCTAGTCTAGTCTAGTCTAGTCTAGTCTAGTCATAGTATAGTCATAGTCTAGTCATAGTCTAGTCATAGTTTAGTCATAGTCTAGTCATTGTCTAGTCATAGTGTGGTCATACTCTAAAATTTTATTTATAGGTCAAAATTTAACCGCTCTATCTTATTAATTTTTAAAATATTTCATTTAGAAAGTTTTTGTTTAAATTTTGTTTTATTTGTTGCGATAACACGCTCATGACACTTTTAGGTTTAATACATGTTAAAAAGTTTATATGTAGATGCACACAAATGACAAGTGTTGAGAATTTTTTTAATATAATTTTAAATTATTTTCTCATAAATTCATCAACTACTCATACAGCAACAACAATAACTATTACCAAAGAGTTGTTGGAATTTGAGAACATTTTGTTATAATTTTTTTTTGTTGTTCTTGGATGACTTTATTAACACTTTATCACAATTTTAAGTGCATATAAAGTGGTTTTATCATCACTTAGCATACAAACAACAAACATAAAAAAGTTTATATTTAATATCCAAACATAGAGACATAGTTACCAGATGATTTGAGAGAAAAATTTTCAAATTTCAACAAAAAAAATAGTCAATTAAGTTATCAAATTCATGATTTCGTAGTCAATACGAACATTTACTGTTTATAGAACTATAGGTAATATTCATGTTTATTTATAATCTTTATTTTTTAGTTTTAAATAAATATTAAAATATGGAAAAATTTAATTGATAACGTATAAGCGTCAGCTGCTATTTGTTTTTAAATAATTTTTTAAAATCGTCAAATTTATATGTAAAATCGTCTATAGGTCAGTTTTGATATAAAAAATTTAAAAATCTGGCAACAGTGCACTCAATGCATGCATGCACTTGAATGCAAAGTCTTTTACATTTTTTTTGTGTAATGTACATTTTCTCTTTTATTTTTCTCAATATAATACATGAATTTGTGTAAAAGTGTTTGTTGTAGTTGTTGCTACTACAAAAACTACAGCTGAAAAGAAAAAAAATTAAGAGGATTTCACACTTTAAAGTCAAGTCAACTACCAGAAATCTTATCAAAAAGTCAATCTTGTTGACACATTTAATTGCAAAGACAGCTTATGACATTTGATTTCATCTCATTTTTTTCGTATATCTTTTTTTTCAATTGACTTTTCTTCTCTACTTATCTTTACTTTGCTTTTCCATTTTATTTTTTTTATGAAATTTTTTTGTTGCACGTTTTTTTTTTTTTTTATTGTTAAACTGGCCCAGTGGAATGTTTGTGACAAAGTAGTGCAACAAAAACAACATTGAAAAGTGTATAATCAAGTAGTGTTCAATGAGAATAAGTTGAGAAGGCAAAAATTAAAAAAAAGTTTAGGAAAAAACAAGAAAGAATGATTTCTAAGACCATAGAAAATATTATAAAATTTTAGTTTTTACTAAGAAAAATGCATATTTTAATTCCAAAAGGCCTATGGAAAATTTTCAGTAAATTCAGCTTTTTTCTGTAAATACGGATGGAGTAAATAGTTTTAAAAAATTAACTTTTTGAAATAAAATCTTTACTTTTGAATCAACTTACGCTGTTTTAATTAAATGAAAAAAATTTCTTCTAATGGTCTCTTTGCCACCAAATTCACCATTTCTTTTCGATGCAGTTTGAGCAAAAAATAATTTTATTTTCAGGAACTACAACTACAACTTAAAAAAAAATAACATCTAAAGAAGAATCCTTTCATACTGCACATGTTTTATTTCCTCTTGTTTATGTGTGTATGTATTTAGGCGCAAAGAAAACACAAGCGTAAAAAAAACATACATGCACGAATGAACGCACACACTAAAATCAAGGAAAGAGAGCAAGAATGAAAAATAAAAACAAATAAACAGAATATCAAGGACCTATAGTATATTCAAAAAGTGTCAACTCCATAAAGTCTACACTTAAAATAAGCCATGGTTAACTTTACGACTTTTTTCATACTATTTACGAAAATTTCTTGTATAATACGAAATAATATTTTATCAAACCTTTTTCTAATTTTGTGAAAGTACGAAAACCTTTTCGAATATTTAAGCGGATTTATATATACATATGTATAATAATATTAATTACATTATAATTAAATAAAACTGGAACATTTTTTATAAAATTTAAGAAAAAGTATGATATAATTTATGAAATATTTCCATAGCAAAAGAAACAAATTCGTGTGAATGATGATTATTTGTTAACTAAAATTAAAAAAATATTTCGTGCAATTTCGTATGTATAATGAATTAGGCATTAGGCATATATATTAGCATATTAGCTGGAGATTGAGATGGGAAAATATTTGCCATCAAAATACCAAAAGTTGAATTGTCACTTTTTGAATATAGTGATTCGATATAAAAAAGCGAGATATGTGTTAGAAAAAAAAGTTAATAAAAAACACTACTCCTGCCCAATTAAAAGAAACTTCAGAGGTAATGGAGAAAAAAAGATAGAAATACACTCTTTGATACACAACTACAATGAATGCTGTGTTGTTGTATTGGAAAACAAGTAGCAAATTAAAAACTACACTTGAAACAATACCTGATGATTATTGTTGTTTTTCTTGATTCTGATGTTGTTTGTTTGCCTTAGAAGAAAGCAAACAACTGAAATAATAGCAGCAACAACATTTGCAAAAAAAAAAAATAATAATAAAAATACTTCGAAATTTTGGGTACAAGAACTTCTTGTTAATAGGTCAATTGTTAGTTGACCAGAGTGTTCTTTTTAAGCCAAAGAAATGAGAAAAAAATAAGTTAGAGAGCTATATTAAGTGATTTTCAGAAGTAAACCTTATATGGGAGCTAAGACAACTAATGGACCAACCCGGAAAAAATATAATGATTTATATATACAAAAAACACATTTATCCCTATAACTTTGATTGGACTGATAAGAAAAAGATTGGTGTAATGATTTATATGCAAGAAAAAAAATCATGTTGAATTTTACTCCAATTGATTTATTAATTAATGAAATATGTGCGTTTAGGTGATTTTCCTAAGTTGACTTTATATAGGAACTATGACCAATTATGGGCCTATCCGGAAAAATTTCGTAGAGTGATTCATATGTACACAAAACATATTTGTGTCGAATTTTATCAAGATATCTTTATATGACAATGAAATACGTGCGGTTAAGTGATTTGCGGAAGTGGGCCTTATATGGGAGCTATGATCAATAATAGACCGATCCGGGATAAAAGTAATAAAATGACTTGTATGTACACAAAACATATTCAATTCAGATTTTATCCCTATAGCTTTAGAATTCAATGAAATATATGCGTTTAAATGATTTTCGGAAGTGGACCTTATATGGGAGCTATGACCAATTATGGGCCTATCCGGAAAAAATTTCGTAGAGTGATTCATATTTAGACAAGACATATTTGTGTCGAATTATATCAAGATAGCTTTATTTGACAATGAAATATGTGCTTTAAAGTGATTTTCGGAAGTGGGCCCTATATGGGAGCTATGACCAATAATGGACCGTAAAAAATTCAGTAGAATGATTTGTATGTACACAAAACATATCAACTCGAATTTTATCACAATAGCTTTATTTATCAATGAAACATGTGCGTTTAGGTGATTTTCGAGAGTGGACCTTATATGGGAGCTGTGACCAATTGTGGATCCACTGAGATCTACGTTGAGAGTATGATTTCTGTTTATATAATATTTGCAAGTACAAAATTTTTTGTTGATACCGATATATTTGAGGGAGTTATTAATGATAAACTTATTTCCGGGAATACATACCTGGTGGCTACGGGAAATCGATTGTAAAGATTTTGAACATAATGGATCACTGTCCTGAAAAAATAATGTGTGACAAAATTCATCGAAATATCTTTTGTAGTTTCCTCAAGAGTTAAGAAAAAAACGTAATTTTTTCGAGGTATTCTGAAATTTTTACTCATAACTTTTTACATTGTGAACCGATTTTGCTAATTTTCAGTACCAAAGAGTAAATATTTTGGGTGAATTTGGTTGATTTCATTTGCTTAGTTTTAACGTGAGCGTTTTTAATGAGTACTTGGTCAATTATCAAACGATCTCTAAAATTCGAGACAGTAAATTTATTTCTAAAAAGTATTAATTTTTGTCAAATTTCAATTAGCACCTTGTTTTATAAAAGATTTGTTGTCAATAAAGTGATTTTCTGTAAGAGTGGTTTAAACATTTTAAAAACTTTCATTACAGGCTAATGTAGGCAAACGTCTTGACTTAATGTGGAAATTTTTAAAACCTGTCTCTTTCGCCCTAATTGGCAAGGAAATTAATTTCACAGTTTTGGATGGCAAAGTTGTAGGATACGGAGTTTTGCTAGTAATACTTGGAAGTGTGGTAAGTACAATATATTTTCTTTATATTTTCAACAAAGATGAGCTTTACAATTGTTCAATTCACAGTCAAGTTGAATATTGTACCTACTAAAGTGTAGTAACAGTGATTGTGAACAGATCTTTGCAGCAAGTCATAAACAATCAAAACAAATGTCAGAAGATAAAAAAAATCAAAAAATATTAAACTAATTAAACATGCGAAATGAACCAAATTAATTTCTTTGAATTTTCAATTCTTTTATTTTCTTTATTCCACATTTTATACAAATAAATAAACAGTTTTTAATTAAATTTTAGCTCTTTTGTTTTGGTAAACAGCTGTTTGTTTTTGATTTCAGTGTTACCACTTTATCGTTTTTTATGCTAAAATCGTTTGAATTTATATGTTGTTTATATGTTGAAATAAACATTTGGCAACACTAAACTTTCTTACAACATTCGAAAAACATATGAAAAATTGTCGTAGGAGTTGTATAGGCCTTTTGCATAGAAAATACCAACAACATTGTTATGACTATTGTAGCAGCTGCTGACATACAACGCTACAACATCGATTGTGAATTGAACAAATATTACATTCTGTGATAACATAACATTCATAAATGTTTAAATTAAAATACCAAAATTTACTTACACAATAGCATTTTAAGTCATTATTTTAACACGGTGATGCCTTTTGAGGCAAGTACTTACCGCAAACGATTACAAGTAAGTTGAAAAAGTAGTCATTGAAAATTACCTGAAAAAAGTATACAGCTTCTATATCTTCACTGGCAAGATGACTAATGATTTAGAAAGTATTTATATTACATATTATTAGTAAGACCTTATTGGACTACTTCTACGTAATCCAGACGATATGTAGTAGTCATTGAAAAGTATGTTGTTAGGTAAGTAGTTACAATTGAAAGCCATTACCCAGTTTTTGCTGGGTTGATTTAGAGTAGAATGGAATAAAACCAAGCAAAAACATGGTAATGATTTGCAATTGTAACCACTTACCCATTAACATACTTTTCAATATCGTTCTGATTACATAGAAGTACTTTAATAACGTCTTATTAATAATGTGTTATATAAATACTTTCCAATTCATTAGTCGGCTTCTGTGTGAAGATATAGAAGCTGTATATGTTATTTCACACGATTTACATTGACAGATTTTTCTAATTACTTGTAAGCTATTGTGGTAATAACTTGCCTACAATGACATCACCATGTTAAAATAATGACTTAAATGCTATTGTGTAAGTAAATTTTAACATTTTAACCCCTTACCTGGTAATGAAAGTTGGGAACAAACAAAAAACATTTGTTTTGCACATTTTAATTTTTAGCATAGAGACATTCTTAATTTAAATTATTTTCAGTTATATGAAATTTTTGTATATAATTCACAGTTTCGTTTGGCTTTTGCATATTTATCAACTTATGGAGGAAATTTATCAATAAAAGAACGTGGCTATATAACAATTTCCAGTTTTCCCAAAGCAACAGTGCAAGTAAGTAACAGATCTAAAAAATACTTAACATTTAAAAGTGTATTAGCAATAGTGTACTCAAAACATATAATAGCTTTCGAAAGGTGACAAAAAATGCAGCCTAATTTAGCGGTAGTTAAGAACTGCAAAATAAAGCATATTTTTTTGCACACATTTATTTTTATTACTTTCTATGAATAGCTTCAATTACCAATTTCCAAAAAATGGGAATAATAAATCGTATACTACTGTTTTGGTCATTTTCTTAGAAAATAAACATTTGGAAGTTTTTGGTTACAGGTAGTTTTCTATATGTTTTTATATAAATTTATACTCCTCCCTAGATGTTTAAAATTTGAAGGTTTCTGGTTTTATAAAAAAAAACTCAATATTGTATATGTAGAAGGGAGTAACTAAATGCCATTAGTGAAGCAGCCCCAAAAGCGTTTTAGCCATAGAAAAAGTAAAAATATAAAAAATATTTGTTATTTATATGTTATTTAAGTTGAAACCGCAGAAAAGTATTGCCACTTGTGTTAGTTTTTGAGGCATGTCAGTGGTTACAACCTCTGTAGCCAAACTCCCTTTATATTTTTCATAACATGAATAAAATGGAACAGACATATTCAGTTATATTACCAGGCAAGTATATAAGGTAGAAAGGTTTATTGATTGGTATATATAGAGAACCAAAGATCTGTCAAAAGTTGCCTATAATTTTATGAGTGCGTATATCTGAGAAATAAATAAAATAAGGAATGTTGAGGGATGTGATATGATGTTAATTATCACCCTACTCTAATGTCTTGGGGTATAAAATACAATCAAATGTTTTAGTTTAACAAACTGCTAACAACAATTCTATTCATTTGGTTGCAATTTTTTTTTGTGCTTGTTTACTTGACTCTCTCGCTCTCTCCTCATCCTGCTAAATATGTTTGCTAGTTTGAATTTTGTATTATTTTTTTGTGTAATTTTTGATTCCATGTTGTCCTAAGTAGCCATGTGGCCCAGCTACTCATATGTTATGCTGCATTGCGGTTAACTGTGGTTATGTTAGGTTAAATATGTGGTTGTCACTTGTAACATTTCTTTAGCCACTGGTGCTACTGCTGCTGTTTCGATTCCTGGACGTTTTCTTTTTTTTTTTAACCCTACATCGCTATAGTAGGGAGGGTACTATGAGTTTGTGCTGATGTTTGTAACGCAACAGAAAAAGTGGTCCTATACCTACCTTAAACTAATAAACTTAGAGTAAAACAATAGGCTGTGAGACCGTCCGTCTTGAAGATACCAGTATTATCTTTTTCGCAAGGTCGAACTCTATTAATCGATCAAATTTATCACCAAGGTCCTATATTGCCGGTTCCCGTGATTTGGAATTTGGAGATCAAAAATACAAAAGTCCCCTTCAGGAAATGACTTGAAGGTCAATATTAACTGTCATGATAAAATTCTGCATAAATCACTTTACTGTATATGTAAATCCCTAAGTTTTGCCGATTTTTGTAGAGATACAAGAACATTTAACATAATTGTAAGGTCAAAAGCCCTATTCGGGTATGGAGACAAGGCGAAAAAATGGACCAATTTTAACCATATTTCGTTCTTGGGTCAATAGTACAGTATGTGCAAATTTCATCGAATTATCTTGAAATTGCGGTATGTAGCGTGCTCACTTGGACACAGAGTCGGACATACATAAATCGACTTAGAAAATGATTCTATGCCGATTGGTATACTATAAGGTGTAGGCCCAATACAAACGCATAATACCCTTCCCAATATAGTGGTGTAGGGTATAAAAGCTTTCATGTTAATTATCAATATATCGCAATTAAGATAAACTGGAACTTAAGAAAATGTTTATTATAATATTAAGTATAATCATAATAGGTGTAGGGTATCATATGAACGACTAAGCCCTGCCACACTTTCTTTTATTACTTGTTCTTCTTCTAAACTCATTTGTTTCATTTATTTTTTTTTTTTTTAACTTTTTTGGGCTATTTAGTCTAAATGTTTTCACAGAATTGAGAAACATTTCTATATTTTTTTCTGCGTTATTTTTGTTAAAGTTAGATATTTGTTTTCTTTGGATTAGCTTGTGGCCTTTTCCGTATGTGTCGAATACAAGTGCTTGAATATTTAGCAAATATTTGCTTTTATTTAGAAACCAACCAACCGACAAAGCAACCATATGTTTGCAGACATAAAATGAATTGTGTTGCATAATTTATTGGTCAAAGTTTTGTGCAGACTTTGAAATTAATTGCAAAAAAACATATACATACATATGTATTTACATAATATGTGGAGAGTACTTTTTTATAAAAAAGGTTTTTATATTTGACTAAAAATAGAAAGAATTTAATGTTTTTTTTTTAATTTTTTTAATCTTAATCCAAGGTTGAACGGCTTTGATAACTAAAATTAGAAAAAGTAGAAAAACTTAAAAATGTTTTTTCTAAAAACATTGAGAAAATTTTGTTCAAATATGTTTGAAAATGTATACATTAAAAATATTATTAGCAATATTTAATTAATTTTTTTTCACAAATTTAATCTAAAATTCAATTATGTTGTTTGAAAAAAAAACAAACTAAAAAAAAACTAGTTAACATATTTAAAGCAAAAATTTCGTATTGAAGACAATGCCAACAAGAGTATCGTTTAACAAAAAAAATGTGAAAAAATAATGTTATACCTATTTATGAACATTTTCTTGATATTTTTGTCCAACAACTAAAAAATACATGAATTTCAAACAATAGTAGAAATAAGTGAAAATACTTTTAGTCGGTCAAATCCGAAATATTGAAAACAGAAGGCTGATGGCGCTACTAAAACTTTTTAATATTTACAGGGGCCAAAGGTTATTTTTTTTTGAACAGACCTAGTTTAAATATAATTTATAAGGAAGTGAACAGTTTTATATGTTGTCTATTTTAGTATTAAATATTTATATTGATATTAATGTAACTTGTACAAAATTTATATGTACACAGAGGGGAAAAGAAATGTACACGCCTGGTACCAAACTGGCACCAAATTTTTCGATAACATCCTTTGTCAAGTATACATACATACATACATACATACATACATACATACATACATACATACATACATACATACATACATACATACATACATACATACATACATACATACATACATACATACATACATACATACATACATACATACATACATACATACATACATACATACATACATACATACATACATACATACATACATACATACATACATACATACATACATACATACATACATACATACATACATACATACATACATACATACATACATACATACATACATACATACATACATACATACATACATACATACATACATACATACATACATACATACATACATACATACATACATACATACATCATACATACATACATACATACATACATACATACATACATACATACATACATACATACATACATACATACATACATACATACATACATACATACATACATACATACATACATACATACATACATACATACATACATACATACATACATACATACATACATACATACATACATACATACATAAATACATACATACATACATACTACATACATACATACATACATACATACATACATACATACATACATCATACATACATACATACATACATACATAACATACACGCCATGTACTTCCATGTCCAAAATATTTATATGTATACGTATAGATTTACAAAAAATTTGGTGACTCCGCCCATTTAAAATTTGCGAAAAAATTTTGCTTTTATTTCCTTCCGGACTATAGAAAGATACAATATATACGTGTATGGGAAGTTATGGACTACAGCGCAGTGCTCCCTTTTGCTCCCTAGGAGTTACGGCCTATTAACTATCAGGTTTTCGGTAAATTTGGACCTTAAAAAAAATATAATGATAAAAATACATAAACCTTATTTTTATATTTAATATTTGGGACACAACAAGTCACGAGGACTGAGAGATAAAAATGTGGTGATACGAATTTTTTGTATTGTCCTTTTCGGAATATTAGTGAAAATTATTTAAAAAGCTTCACCCTGCTGATGTAGGGTGAACACACTTAAAGGCAAACGAGGACGCCAAGAAGATAAAAGAAAGGAAATCATATACACAGGCCAACAACACAATACATTGTGATGTTGTCAACATTAATACACATCCAAACAAAAAACGTGTAGGAAATAAATAGAAATATGTACAAGAAAAAAACTAAAGAAGACATTTAAATAGTATTTGAACCTTTGAAAAAACAAGAAGAAAATAAGTAAGAAAGCATGGTCGACGTTATGATGTCCTACACCAGTTGTGAGTATATTTAAAATGTGGATTATTTTTATAGTAAAGAATTTATATTGTAAATATAGGCCGATTCTCAAATGAGGACCGATCAGTATGAAAATTGGCAGTACCTATCATAAAACAGGGTTCTGTCGATTTTGTCAAAGATTGAACAAAAATATAGGCACTAGGTTTACATGGACACACAGACGGACGGACGTACAAACGGACATATCTACACCACTATAGGGTATAAAAAATAACTAAAGGAAAAACAAACATCTACAAAACCGCATACAAACATTAAGATAGAAGGGAAGACAAACAAAATGAAATAAATAAAAAAAACATTTGTTTGCTAAAATAAAAATGAATAAAAAATGTTTTAAATGTTCACGCTAAAGGAAATTAAATAAAACACACACAACATTTGTACAAACATAGTAAAATACAAAATTTACCAAATTTTATTCTATGAAGTACAAAAACTTTATTTAAATAGAAAAAAATACATAGGTTTAAAATGTTTGCTGGGTTACTACATCAGTTTTGTATGCTAAAGTGAGAAAAAACATTTCCTTCATTCACTCATTTATACACATTCTCCTTTTGGTATGCTATGATATCTTATGCAATGACTTGTCATTAAAAACACATTTCTTAAGCAACAATGCCTGTCAGTCCGTCTGTGTGTCCGTCCCTACTTGTAGAATTTTAAGTACACGACAGAGAACAACATTCGGTAATGAGCACAAACAACGTCTAACAGCAAAAAATTAAAACTTTTATTATTTAAATGAATCAATGAAATCTGGCCAGTTTGTTACCCCCCACACACTTGAATTTTGATTTTTAAAGGACATGCCGTCCAAGGGACCGACCACCAAAATCAGAAATATAGGTACCGACAAAAACATGAAAAGTAAACTTGTATACATATGGGGAAAAGCCTTATGGGTGGCCCCAAAAACTGTTGATGGTGCTTTCAAAAAGAAATATGTAATAAGCAAAGCAAAAAGGACATAAAGGACATATGTACAAGAGTATGTAAGTATGTGTATGAATACAATTTAAATCGAATTGTATGAATATGAAAACAATAAAAAGACACAAATGAATGAATGAAAGAACGAATGAATTAATGGTTTTAAAAGATGATGAAGTTGAAGTTCTATAAAATATGGCTGGCTAATGGGAAATGTATTTTTACGAGTATTCGCTATGTCTGACCGACCGTCTGTCTTAAAAGTGTTTTTTTCGTAAAAGTTCTTAAGGAAATAATAAAATTCATGAACACAATAGGGTCAGGAATTTCGTTTCTTTTTTTCTACTTTTCTGTACACTTTACATAAGATATTAAGTGAAGATAAGAAAAAAGGAAAATATCTTTTATAAAGTGAATTGAAGAGAACGTATTACTGGTTAAATACGAAACAAGGAATACAGTAAGAAATTACAAATGGAGATGGTTTTTCTACAGAAGACAATTTAATAAAAAAAATTGTAAATATTTCAAAATTTTTTAAAAAATAGTAAACTTATCAAAAATTCATTAAGAATAGAAAAATTATAAAAAATTCTTCATTAATAATAGAAATTGCACAAGAACTTCTAAAAATAGAACATTTTTTAAACAAAATTTATAAAAAAAAGTTTCTAAAATGTTAGTTAAACAGACAAACTATTTTCAAATAATAAAAAATGTAAATAAAAATTTTACAGAAATATTTTTTTTTCATAAATTATCTATAAATAGAACAAAATTTAAAAATAATGGATCGATCCATCTTTACCTCTTGTAGGGTATCTAAAAATAAAGTAAATTTATGATATTTAATTTTAATGTTTACGAATTGAAAACAAAGCTAATTTCTTTCTATAAAAAAGACACAAAAACCCTAAAAATCATAAACAAATTTAGCAATTAATTAAAATATTTTTGTTAGAAAAAAAAATATAACATAAATTTACAGAAAAGAAAATTTTAATTAATTCAAATATAATAAAACAAATTATAAATTAAAAGTGAAACAGCAGAGTTCATAAATAAATTTATAAAAAAAGAAACTAATAAAACGACAAAGAAAATTAGCACACTTTTATTAGCCACACAATTAAAATGATAAACTAATTGTTAACAAATTCTCTACTTAATCTCTTTTTTATTTTATCTTTTTAGGCCGCCTTAGGGCCCATAGCCTTAGATTTGGCTCGTTCATTGAATGCTGATGCGGCTACTTTATCGTTGGCCAGTAATGTTCTAATCATATCCGTTCTGGCCATTATATTCACTGCACCATTGGGTGCTATTTTAATGTTACGTTTAGCACCAATTTGGCTACAACGTAGTGCTACAAATGACGATAATATGGCTGATGACAATCGAGGAGGAAATGTAAACATGACCGTTGAGTACGAGAACAGTACAGCGGGCAATGCCAATAATGAAGAGTTTTCGGGTAATGACAATTTAGACCGCCATCAAAAGTCAGTTTAAAACCAATAACAATAACACATAGTAGAAATAATAGAAAATACAAAAAAAAAAAACCAACCATAAGTATAGCACAGGATGAATGAAATGCTGTGACGTTGAACTTGTTAAAGTCTAAGTTTGCATTATATTGAAAAAAAAAAAAAAAAAACAAACCTAAGAAGTTTAGACTTATCACAGTTTTTCGTTATGTTTTAGAAAACTTCTTTTACTTTGCAATTAATCCACTGATTTGAGTTTTAGCCTTTTTTACCATTGGTTTTTAAAGCTCCTTTATAAGTTTAATATCAGAGCTTGAATAGATTTATGCGTGTGTATATATTTTAAATACTTTTCTAGCAAATAGGTAGGTTTGATTGTACTTAGATTAATAATTTGAAAAATTAATTGCATTTTAAAATATTGTAAATATAATAAAAACAACCTTTTAATAAAAAAATTTATAGATTTTCTTTTACAATTTCGAACTGTTTATGATACTGAGTTATACATAGTTGTTGCTATAAATGATAGAAACTATAGACTGATCAATAGTCGAGACTACAGCATGATCTATACAATAAAAAAACAAGTAAGAAGTTAAAGTCGGGTGAGGCCGACTATATAATACCCTACACCAGTTATAAAAATAAAATGCGATTTAGTGTTCATAATAAAGCATTTAAGTTGAATTGTACCATGTCTCAGATATACTTTAGCCATTGTTGGTTGAATAAAATTGTGTACATTTAAGTTATATTTCGAAGGGGGCTTTCTATAGAGGCTAGGGTTAAATGAGGCCCTATCATCAAAAAATTCATCAGAGTCATGAAGGCTAGTATTGAATTTGATTTTGTAGCTTTTTGTCAAGATACGAGTATATTGAACATAATTATGAACTTAAAAGCCCTATTCGAGGGGGTTCAGTTGTATGGGGGTTAGGTCAAATATTGTCCCGATGTTGCCTATTTTCAATAGGATTTGTCTCTAGATAGAAGATCATGTGCAAAATATCATTGAATTATCTTCAAAATTGCGACCTATACTTTGATTACAAGGTTTACAAGCCCTTTTCGGGGATTCAGTTGTATGGGGGCTAGGACCGATCATAACCATTTTCAATAGGCTTCGTCACTGAGGCAATAAAAGATCATGTACCAAATTTTAAATTATCTTCAAAAATGCGGCCTGTAGTTTGATTACAAGGTTTACATGGACGGACGGACATAGCTAAATCGAATCAGAAAATTATTCTAAGCCGATTGGTATACACCACAAAAGTGGTGTAGGGTATAAAAAAAACAAGTAAGAGTATTATATTCGGCTATGATTACATATATTCAAACCGTATGACGTAAAAGGGCTTAAGTCAATTATGGACAGAGCTCTATCGAATAAGCAAAATATTTTTTAAGAAACTAAATATTTTTGTCCAATTTTTAAACTATGAACTTATGTATATGGGCGGTAAGGTCAGTTGTCTGATTGTCGTAAAATTTGGTACATGCGTAGATTTCGGTTCGTATAATACTTATTTGTTTCGAATTTCATCGCTGTACTCGTATTTTTAATTCAGTCATGAGCGTTTAACTAAATATTTTTGTCCAATTTTTAAACTATGAACTTATGTATATGGGCGGTAGGGTCAATTGTCTGATTGTCGTAAAATTTGGTACATACATAGATTTCGGTTCGTATAATATTATTTGTTTCGAATTTCATCGCTATACTCGTATTTTTAATTCAGTCATGAGCGTTTATATCGAATTATATCATTTTTATACCAGAAATTTAAAGTAATTTTCTCCCTTATATGGGCAGTAGGGTCAATAATGGAACCATCCTAATCAAATTTGGTGGACAGATTTGTGACGATTTTCATCGTCAGTAATGAGTCTAAAAGTCATTTTCTAAAGGAAACCTTATATAGTTTGAGAGATATTAGCTCGAAAGAATCTTACTTATGTCGAATTTCATTGCTATAATCAGAATTTTTATCCAGTAATGATTGTCATTTTCTGAAGGGGACCTTATATGGGGCGTAGGGTCAATTATTGAACAATCCTTATTAAATTTAATACAGAGAGTTTGTCTCGTAGGAAACTTACTTATGTAAAATTTCATCACTATACTCGTATTTTTTAGCCAGTAATGAGCGATAAATTAACTTTCTGAAGGGGCCCTTAGGGGTATAGGGTCAATTATCGACTAAACCTCATAAAATTGGATAGATAGATTTTGGCTCTTATGATACTTATTTATGTCGCTATACTCTTATTTTTTAAGCATTTATGACTGTTAACGCTGTTTTTCGGAGGCCACTTGTATGGAGACTATGCAAAAACGTGGACTAATATTGGCCATTTGCAATACCAAACAAACCTGAACCCTGTAGCTCTTTCCGTTCGGACTCTATTGTATTTTCAACAGGCAGACGAACGGACGGACATGGCTAGATTGCCTTAGAATTTAATAAGGACTCAGAATACATACCAATATTTCGATGTATTATAAACGAAGTAACAGAAACAATTTGATAGTGGATATAAAAAGAATTTAGTAATGCGTACTCAAATCAGTCCGGAGCAGTTTTAGAATTGATTGATTAGAATTGACATGATTCAAGTACGTGATTATTGACTGACCTATATAATCGAGACTACATAATCTATACAGATATTATCAACTTTATAAACTGATCTATAGTCAAGGCTATATATTGAACTATAGTCGAAAACACAGATCAACTTACAATTGAGACTATAATTAAAGACAATAGATTGATACACAGTAGGGAGTATATAATGGTCTATAAACGAGGCTTCACACTGATCTGTAATCGAGACTATATTTACAGTCTAAAATATACAGATCTGATCACAGTAACAATAGAGACTAATCTAACAAATGGGAATCGAAATATGTATATTAGTAGTGTGATATAATATTTACCGTAACTAAGTGTATTTAACACTCTAAAGTCATTTAAGTAGGGATTTATTAAAATTTTATCACCAGGAAAATCAAAATATGCAAATGAATGTTTTCTATGGTGCTTCGTATGGAATTTTTTAAATCATATTTTTGGTTTCCATGATTTTTATTCTCATTTTACTTGAAATATTAATTTTGTTTTGTATGCATATGTATTTAAAAACATAAACTTCTGTTGTAGTGTTTATATTAGCCAAAGTTTCCTTAAAGTATACATACATATACACTTATAATAATGTATGTAGTATACATATTAAGTCAAAAATTACATTTTTATACATTTAGTATCAATATTCCTAACTCAATGTCAATAAACATTTTATAATATTCTGAAGAGTTCAAATAGAAGAAAAAAGTGAAACTTACCGTAATGCCACAATTGTTGACCATCATACTTCAAGGCTGTTTTCTTGTCTGTAAATAAAAAGAAAAATATCAACAAATACAGATCAATATTTAAGTATTGAAAGAAATTGCAAAGAGAAAAATGTACTTATGTAAATATATTTTGTTTTTATTTATATTTTGGTCAAATTCAACATAGAAACACAAATGACAAAAGAAAAAAACTAGTCAAAATGTACAAAAGTATGTAATATTTGCTTATACGGGGAAACATACATACATGGTACATATTTGACAGAGTATAACAAAAATTAATATCAACATTTGAAAATGGTAATAACGAATACTTTCCAATACAATAAAATACAACAGTAGAAACTGAATTTAAGAAATAGGAAAGTTTTCATATTTATTTGTAACCTATAGAATATCACTTCCCCAATTTCCCATTTTTAGTAACTGATGTTCCAGATTCTACTGTTATCCGGAAAAATTTCCTATAACAATACAATATAAGAAGAAATAAAATTTTATGAATTTTATTTACATTTACAGGAATTAGGCGTAGTATGTATCCAAGAAACTTTTATGACTTTTTTCATTCTTACGATTTTTTTTCTTCCCCAATACTTTTTCTGTTGATGTTGAAACACTTCATTTTGTTTATATTTCATTAATTTGTAACACTTGTAGAAGAGGAAAGAAAAAAAAAAAGAAGAATAAACAAATTGGAACAACAACAAATAAAAGGAAGGCATTAATATAAGAAAACAAAAGAAGAACAACGATAAAAAACAACAACAACAGGAATGACACAAATGGTTAGGAATTAATGACTGAATGTAGTCTTGGCAAATACAAACAAATGTATTGATATCGAGAGTTAAAGTAACAAATATGTACAAGGATTCCTATACATTAGGGGCATTCAAATGCCGAGAGAAGAAGCAATCAAAGTTTAAATTCTGACTACAGAAATGGCTTGTATATTCAAAAGGTGTTTGGGTAGCTTATTATAATTGAATACTAGTTAGGTTAACTACTAATAATGGGGAAAGCAATAACTGAGGTAATATTTTCAGGACTTGTTAGCTAACTAGGACTTGGCCAAGACTAACTAGGATCTACAACCCCCAGAGATCACATATTATCGTTGTTGTGGCTCTATCTCTTCTAGTTTCCAAAATAAATGGACTTTTATGTATTCACCAAAAAAATCGATTTTTGAGGTGATATAAAAGTGATCACAGATTATCGTTGTTTTGGCTCTATCTCATCTAGATTCCAAAATAAATGGACTTTTATGTTTTCACAAATAAATCTATTTTTTGTGGGAAGTAGACGTGATCACAGAGTATCGTTGTTTTGGCTTTATCTCTTATAGTTTCCAAAATAAATGGACTTTTAAGTTTTCACCCAAAAAATCAATTTTTGATGGGAAATAAAAGTGATCTAAGATTATTGTTGTTTCGGTCTTATCACTTTTAGTTTCCAAAATAAATGGACTTTTATGTTTTCACAAAAAATAAAATCGATTTTTTTATGCGAAAAAAAGTGATCACAGATTATTATTGTTGTGGCTCTCTTCTAGTTTCCAAAATAAATGGACTTTTATGTTTTCACCCAAAAAAAAAAAAATCGGTTTTTGGTGGGAAATAAAAGTGATCACAGATTATCGTTGTTTTGGCTCTATCTCTTCTAGTTTCCAAAATAAATGGTCATTTATGTTTTCACAAAAAAATTAAATCGATTTTTGGTGCGAAATAAAAGTGATCACAGATTATCGTTGTTTTAGCTCTTTCTCTACTAGTTTTCAAAATAAATGGACTTTATGTTTTCACAAAAAATATAATTGATTTTTGATGGGAAATAAAAGTGATCACAAATTATCGTTGTTTAGGCTCTATCTCTTCTGGATTCCAAAATACATGGACTTTTATGTTTTACCAACAAAATTCGAATTGTAATGGAAAACAAAAGTGCTCACAGATTATCGCTGTTTTGACTCTATCTCTTTTAGTTTCCAAAATAAATGGATGGATGTTTTCACAAAATATACAATCGATTTTTGATGGGAAATAAAAGTGATCACAGATTATCGTTGATTCGGCTCTATCTCTTCTAGTTTTTAAAATAAATGAACTTTTATGTTTTCACCAAAAAAATCGATTTTTTGTTGGGAAATAGAAGAGATTACAGATTATCGATGTTTTGGCTCTATCTCTTCCAGATTCCAAAAATAAATGGACTTTTATGTTTTCACAAAAACAAAAAATCGATTTTTGAGGTGAAATAAAAGTGATCGCAGATTATCGTTGTTTTAGCTCTATCTCTTCTAGATTCCAAAATAAATGGACTTTTATGTTTTCACCCACAAAAAAATCGATTTTTGGTGTGAAATAAAAATGATCACAGATTATCGTTGTTTTGGCTCTATCTCTTCTAGTTTCCAAAATAAATGGTCATTTATGTTTTCACAAAAAAATTAAATCGATTTTTGGTGCGAAATAAAAGTGATCACAGATTATCGTTGTTTTAGCTCTTTCTCTACTAGTTTTCAAAATAAATGGACTTTATGTTTTCACAAAAAATATAATTGATTTTTGATGGGAAATAAAAGTGATCACAGATTATCATTGTTTAGGCTCTATCTCTTCTGGATTCCAAAATACATGAACTTTTATGTTTTACCAACAAAATTCGATTTGTAGTGGAAAACAAAAGTGCTCACAGATTATCGCTGTTTTGACTCTATCTCTTTTAGTTTCCAAAATAAATGGACTTTATGTTTTCACGAAAAATATAATTGATTTTTGATGGTAAATAAAAGTGATCACAGATTATCGTTGATTCGGCTCTATCTCTTCTAGTTTTTAAAATAAATGAACTTTTATGTTTTCACCAAAAAAAAAAAATCGATTTTTTGTTGGGAAATAAAAGTGATCACAGCTTATCGATGTTTTGGCTCTATCTTTTCTAGATTCCAAAATAAATGGACTTTTATGTTTTCAACAAAAAAATCGATTTTTGATGGGAAATAAAAGTGATCACAGATTATCGTTGTTTTGGCTCTATCTCTTCCAGATTCCAAAAATAAATGGACTTTTATGTTTTCACAAAAAAAAATCGATTTTTGAGGTGAAATAAAAGTGATCACAGATTATCGTTGTTTTAGCTCTATCTTCTTTAGATTCAAAAATAAATGGACTTTTATGTTTTCACCCAAAAATCGATTTTTGGTGGGAAATAAAAGTGATCACAGATTATCGTCGTTTTGGCTCTATCTCTTTTAGTTTTTAAAATAAATGGACTTTTATATTTTCAACAAAAAAATCGATTTTTGGTGGAAAGTATTGATTTTTGGTGGGAAATAAAAGTGATCACAGATTATCGTTGATTTAGCTCTATTTCCTTTAGATTCCAAAATAAATGGACTTTTATGTTTTCACCAAAAAAAAAATCGGGTTTTGATGGGAAATAAAAGTGATCACAGATAATCGTTGTTTTAGCTCTATCTCTTCTAGATTCCAAAATAAATGGACTTTTATGTTCTCACCCAAAAAAAAAAAAAAAAAAAAAAAATCGATTTTTGGTGTGAAATAAAAGTGAACACAGATTATCGTTGTTTTGGCTCTATCTCTTCTAGTTTTCAAAATAAATGGTCATTTATGTTTTCACAAAAAAAAAAAAATTAAATCGATTTTTGGTGCGAAATAAAAGTGATCACAGATTATCGTTGTTTTAGCTCTATCTCCTTTAGATTCCAAAATAAATGGACTTTTATGTTTTCACCCAAAAATCGATTTTTGATGGGAAATAAATGTGATCACGCATTATATTTGTTTCCAAAATGAACTTTGATTTCCCATGGGAAAATATCGATTTTTGATGGGAAATAAATGTAATCACAGATTATCGTTGTTTTGGCACTATCTCTTTTAGTTTGCAAAATAAATGGACTTTTATGTTTTTTCCCAAAAAATCGATTATTGGTGGGAAATAAAAGTGATAACAGATTATCGTAATTTTGGCTCTATCTCTTCTAGATTTAAAAATAAATTGACTTTAATGTTTTCAACAAAAAAATTCTGTTTTTTTACATTATCTCTTATATATACTGGTATTTTTAAGCCAGTAATGTGCATTTTAAGTAATTTTCTGAAGAGTCGGGGTTATTTATGAAGAGATCCTCATAAAAAGTGATTTTGTAGAACTATTTTGGTTGCAGATAACTAAATTGTACAACATTTTATCACGATTGCTTTAAACAGTATTTTGAGTTTCTACTTGTATGGGGTGTAGGGACCTGGGAAATATATTATTTTGGCGGTCTACTACCAATATTTATATTTGTTAAAATCAATATAGCATTCTTATATAAAATTTTGCCTGAATACCCTACTATTGCATTTTTTTTAAGAAATTTATAAACTTTCTACAACAAAATGGTTTTTAGATTTTTATTAAAATGTTTCCAAAATTTTTATTATCCTGAGCGCAGGAAAAAAAATTTCAACTTTTTGACAGCTGTTGATGTAAAAAAAAATGAAATTGAAAACACGATAATAGTAGCAGCAAAAAGCAACAACTCAACGAGAATAATTTTAAATTTATGACTTAACAGAAATCAACAAAAAAGTGCACAGAATAAAGTCAAAACCAACAACAAAGTAAAAAAGTAAAACAAAAATATATTAAACATGGTTTTAACTAGTGTTTACGATTATTGTTGTTTAGCGGAAGTTTGAGTTTTAAATTCTCTAAATGTCTTAAGGGCTCCGCCGCTGCTTTCAATTCATCCATGATGAGACGAAATTTGAAGGATTAAAAACTTTTAATTTATTTTTGAACGTACTGACAGTTTAGTATTTACGATTTTTTTATACATAATATATATTTGAAAACGAGTTAAACCAACAGATAATGTAATGCCAAAATTAAAATATCAATAACAAGCCAAAAATGGAGATAATGTTGGTTGAAAATAAAGAGAAAGGGTTAGTAAAATGTATATATTTCAATAGCAACACACATTTTTTGCTACTAATGATTATGACTCTTTACAAAAA